AGCGCTGTTCTATGGTATCATGTCATGTATCGGTCCAAGATCATGTGTTTATATTGTGTTTTTTGTGTATATAAGAGACTTTTAACACGGACATATTTGTCTCTCATTCTCCCACCTCTTCATGCGCTCCCCACCTCTAAACCCACGTTTCCTGTCATTTCCATCCACAAATAAAACGCTTGCTACGCATCTTTTCACTCCTCTAGTCACGGGAGGATTAAACATTCATATTTTTAGAGTTTATTCGCGAGGTATTCTTCAAGCTTCTCCGTGTCTGCTGCTAGTTAAACTCGGCTCTCTTTGCAATGGCGGCGCTGTAAACAACAGCGGCGTCCTGACCAATCACAAGCTTGCGTAATCCGTTTCGTTCGACGGATGTTTAAAAAAGTGGGCTCGACTCCGTACGTACTTGCGTGCCTGCCGGATCCTTACGCAAGGACGGATAATGGCGTTGCGTGTCTCCGCACTGACGCAGACGGAGAAGCATAAATCAGGCTTAAGAAGATCATCGATGTATGATGGTGCTTGTCCATGTAAGGCCCTAAAGACCAGAACCAGGATCTTGAAATGAACCCTGAAGTTGACTGACAGTCAGTGAAGCTGGAGGAGAAGCGGGGTGATGTGGGTGTATTCGGAGGACTTGGTCAGAAGCCGAGCACAGGCATTCTGAACCACCTGCAGACGGTTCAGGGAGGTTTTGCTCAGACACGTGAAAAGAGCGTTACAGTAGTCTAAGCGTGAGGAGATAAAGGTGTGGAGAACTGTCTCAGGTTCAGAACGGGACAGAATGGGACTCACCCTAGCAATGTTGCTGAGATGGAAGAAGGGAGAGTGAACAAGAGAACTGACATGAGAATCCAGGATGAGAGCTGGGTCAAAGGTCAAACCACAACCTCTCTTCCGGCACTCGCAGAGTACAGACGCTTCTGCTCTTGCTCTCTTATCTTTTTTTCCCAAGGCTCTTTGTCCTGTCTGCCTACAGAGTGCTTCTCTGCATTTCTTCTGGAAATCCCTATTTTTTTGGAAAATGGACTTAATTAACTGGTCATTCAACGCGATTGATAAAATTTTTTCTAGGATGAGAATGGAGGAGGGGGCTCCTAATTGCCCTCAAGGGACACACGCAGCGGGATATGCGCTCGATTCCTGGAAAGAGTGGAGGATCGTTTGCCTCTCTCAGTTGTCCATTGAGGATGTTGAAGATATGTGGATATTTGGCCTGATGATCACTGGATTTCTTCTGATTGGAGTGGGAGGATATCTGGTTTTCCGGGAATTTAGGCAGACGGGAGCGATTGGAGGGCGAACCGCACCCACGGAAGGCACCGCCCGGGCGGATGCCTCACAGACTGGGACGTTACTCGAGGTGAACCGTAAGCTGGACAATGTCCTAGCTGCGTTACTGGTATTAGTGAGCAAAATGGATGTCATCTCGCAGAGGGTCACCGGATGGTGTGGAGATGTTTAAAACCTAAATTGGCTTCACTGGAGGACTTGAATGATTGGTTACAGACTGAAGGTAGAGAGAAAAATTATCTCTGCCTGACCTAAACAAAGTCTTGTTATCCAAATCTGACGCCAAGGCAGCCTTCAAGCTGCTAACAACAACCCCCACGAAGGAAAGAATTCAGACAGATGCTGTGAAAACCCGTCCAACACCCACCCCGCCTTCGGATTGTGGACTAGGGTTGTCACGGTAACCGGTATAGCGGTAAACCCCGGTAAAAAAGTTGACAATAAAAATAACCGTCCAGTTTTTAAAAAACTATATTATCTCGGTGGGTTTACCGTGGCCGCGGTTTCGGTGCGATGACCCTTACCAGCCACCGTCGCTTCAGCTGAAGTTCCCGCGGCGCGCACACGCACTTTTTAGTTTGCAACGGCACCAAAACTTTGAAGCTGAAATAATGGCCGAAGGAGGAGACGGCAGCGCCCAGGACATCCATCAGCCCTCAAAGAAGACTAAATTGGAAGTATGGGCATATTTTGGATTTCTGAAAAATGCTGAGGGACAGTTAATAGAAGACGGCTATCCCGTTTGCAGAACGTGCAGGAAACAAGTGTCTGCAAAAGGCAACAACACTTCAAATCTAATGGCACATCTGCGTGACCATCACCCACGTCTCTACAGCCAGTGCAAGGTAGGTTAACATTAACATTTTAGCTTAAATGCATGACGTGAGGACTTTTGGCTGAGGGAGAATGCAACGAGTCACTATATACTGCAGCCGCAGCGTCCTCTGCCAGCATTTAAACCGTGTCACGGACACCCTGTTTCTGGATGAAGCATCTTATTTGTTGATGATGAAGAGAAATATACAATTAGTTCCTTGTCATTGGTTTGTTTACTTATTCAATGCCATTTATACTTGAACGTTTGGATTTGATTACATAGTGTAGTAGTTATTTTAGTAATTTGTTTAAAGTGGCTATTTATTTTAAATACATATTTTTTTAAGGTTGACTTGTACAGTGCTCAAGTCAAGTGTGGACTGGAGTTTTAGATTTTCATTTTGATAATGAAGAAAACAAGTGTATGAGAAAACAAGTGGTGTTTCTTTGATTTGTTTACATATTGTTTATGTTTCGAATGTTTGGATTTGTATAATTTAAACCTGCACTGACTACTGTAACATGTTCCAGAAAAATAAGCTATTTGTTCCTTTACTTGTGAAAAGTTGCACTTTTGCTAAGGCTTTGTGTTATTTTAGCTTTAATAAACACTGTTAAACCTTTTCAGAACTATTTCAGTTTGTGTAGAACAGGACTATCAATGCTTTCTGAACATATGCAACACCGTTTAAAAAATACCGCGATAATACCGAAAACCGTGATAATTTTGGTCACAATAACCGTGAGGTTAAATTTTCATACCGTGACAACCCTATTGTGGACTTCTGCCTAGCTAGGTCATCAGTCTGCAGGACTCAATGTGCTCTGCGCTCCTCCCAAGATCTCCCTCCCACCTGTGGCTACAGTTGGCTGAGCGCCATGCAGGGCTGCTCCCGCTGGGGAAACAAGATCCCAGACCCCACCCCCCCGCCTCCCTATTGGAGTCTCATGTTGTGAACTGTGATGTTCGTGCTTATATGTTTGAGGCGTTTTTTTTGCATAGTAAAGCTACGCCCTGCCTGGAGTAACTCTGGTATGCTTTTTTTTCCTTCCCCCAACTCATCCTCATGTATGTAATCTCCTTTTCATCTAATGAAATGCTGGCGGCGTGTGCACACGCAGCGGCTTCTCTCTCTCTCTCCCGTTCTTTATCGAGAGTTTGAGAGTAACGTAATTTAATTTCTCTGTATGTCCTGTACATGTGGTAGAATTGACAATAAAACTGACTTTGACTTTGACAACTGATTGCTGTTGGTGCAAAATGCAGCAGCTAGGTTTCTGCCTGGTACAAGTGGGAGGGACCACATCACCCCAGTGCTGACAGACTTACACTGGCTACCAGTCTGTTTTAGAATAAATTTAGAGGTTTTAGTCTTTGTTTTTAAAGTTTTATCTGGGGAGGCGTAAGTATCTTAAGCCACTTGTAAACTGCCATGCTCCAATACATTCACTGAGGTCTGCAGACCAGTGTCTGCTGTCTACCCCAAGCTATAACCTTGAAACGCGAGGTGGGTGAGCAGGGGCGGATTTAGGACTGAAGAAGATCCGGGGCTTAACACACACACACACACACACGCACGCGCGCACACACACGTGACACGCACTAGTCAACATCATATATGTCTTGTACCACAAAATTTTTAATCTGAAGCTACAAATTAAGCATTTTCAGGGCAAAATATTGTTCCTGTTAGTGTTTAGTGTGAGATGCTAGTAAATATTCCCTTTCTTTCTCCAACCACTTTACCTGATAAGCTAACTTTAGGCAAAGCAGCACAACAAATATTTTCAAATAAGACTCACAAACCTGAGTCAACACCAGTCTCATCAAAGCTGGGGTTCTGTTGTTGTACTTTTTTCTAAAAAACATCCTTATGTCCATCGTCACACATGCGTTTCAGGCAGACTGTAGAAGAAGCCGGCTGCAGAAGGGCTTCTTCTTCAGTGGTGGAGGCTCAGGCAGGCTGTATACAAACTACTGCCAGCTGTCCCCCCTCTGTTGAACTTTGGTACTGCATGTTACTTCCGCGATTTAGATCCGGGGCTTTTCATGAAACATCTGGGGCTTCAGCCCAAGTAGCCGGGCCTAACGCCGCCCCTGTGGGTGAGCCTTTTCGGTAGTTGGGCCTCGGTTGTGGAACAGCTCCATCACTTGCGTTTTTTAAATCTAGGATAAATACACATTTTTATTCATTAGCTTTAAATTAGGCAGGTTTGTTTCTTAGTTGTATTTGCAGTTGTGTAAATTGATGATGATGATGATGATGATGATGATGATGAAGATCCCTAACAGAGGGTTTGGTGTGAGAAACAAGCTGACCAGCTTGTCTGGGGCATGGATGAGGATCTCAGTCTCATCTTCATTCAGCTGTAGAGATTTCCCAGCCATCCAGGTTACAATAAAGTCTAGAGCACTTATGTAATGTTTTGCAAGTGGTCGCTTTTAATAAATTGTCAATAAAATGTAAATGTATTCAAAAATATTGATAATCCATATTTTATTGGAAAATTACACAGGTGTGTAACAGCTGCAGCTTAGACATCTCATGGGGCTTAAAGGAAAAGTGCAGTTGGATGTCATCTGCTTAAAGATGGTAGGAGATTCCTTTAAAAGAGCTCATGATGTGCTGTAGAGGAGGAAGAGTAAAGGCCCCAGCACAGAAGCTTGTGGGACACCATGACAGAAATTCTGAACGTTGGGACATGAAAGGAAAGTTTTTCTCTTTTAATTAGTAAATTGAGTTTTTTTTTAAAAGTAGTAAAAAGAGTAATCCATGACTCACTGGTCTGCTAATGTTTCTAAGTGAATGCTGGTTGTCATGACTTTTTAGGCTTTTTCCCACCTTCTGCTCCACGTCATTAATTCCAATCATTTCCTCTGTTTTCAGGTGGCTGTTCGTTTGAAGAGTCTTACAGCAGCTGTGGGTACAGCGTGTCACTGGGAACCAATGGATTTACTTGGGAACAAGTCAACTCCTGGGAAAAACCCACCATGGACCCGGCTCTTCCAACAGGTAGGTTCCTACATGTTTTGATCTTCACCTTTAGGGAGACTTGGAGTGATGGTGAGACACTTGGATCAATTGGGATTAATCAGATGAACTGGTTTGGTTCTGCTCACTTTAGTTTTATTGAGGTTTTTTTTAATTAGCTCCTCATTCATTGGGAATAACTTGACAGAAAAAGGATAAGTTTTTGAGATGAAGAAAAATGCAAAATTATCAAAAATTGGGCTAATGCCACCACGTCAAATTCAGTGCGCTAGCTAGCACATGTCCTAATTGATTATATCTTCACCATTTTTGAAGATAAAACAATGAGACTCTAGACCCTTACAAAGTATGAACGGTAAGCTTTATCTACTAGATTTTGTTTGGATTCACCAATAGGGGGCGCTAAAGAGTCAAAAAGTTTGTTTGAGCGAAGCGGCTGGATGGATTTTCACAGAACTTGGCAGATATGCTAATCATAGGACCCTTAAGCTATATTTTGAAAATGATTAAAAAGTGGGCGTGGCTTATAGGCTTTAAAATTTTTCGCCCTTTAACTCATGAAAAATATATATTTTGTACAGAAAGTTGCAAATCCTTTCAGTCATAGTGACATCTACAAAATGACGTTAAAATTTAATCTGATAAATTTCTGGTTTTTAATAATTTATTTTTAGGACACATTTAAATAATAGTGCTGGTTTAGTTGCCCACATTTCTAACATAAATACTGAGTTTTTTATCCAATTCTGACATTTTCCACATCAGGAGAAAAACAGATCTTTCTCTTTAAATCTCTCCTTCCATCTATCTGAGTTGGCGGACTCAGTAAGTTGACGTGACCTCAGCTGGTTTCTCTTCCGTCGTCAAACGCCAAATGGCAATCAGGCGGTGTGTCTATCCATCTCATTTCTGACCTTTTTGACCTCCATATATCGCCTACAGTCTCACTTTCTCACTCAGCTCATACTGTCCCTCACAGCCTTTTCACACGTCTTCTCTCTGTTTCATCCTTACTTTATCTCTGCATCTTGATCCACCTCCGTCTTCGTTTTTTTCCAGTTTGACTGACGTGACCGTTTGTCAGATACAGTTTGACCAAAGCAGTAATACATATTCAGGACTAGGATGATTATTTGAGAGCCACAATACTTTTTTTTAATCTCTTTATCCTTAAACTGAAGACATTTATAATCCAAAACAAGTTCAGTTAGGTTTGAACCAAATCCACAGCAATCACATCAAATAAACCAAGTCAGATTTGGGTCAGTAAAGTTATAATTGAGCTATTTTATTTGAACACACTAAATTTGTCTCTTAATATTAATACATTTCCAAGTTGTTTTTTGTTTCACTTTTGTGCCATTTGTGAAACTGAATAAAAATGCTAAAATGATTTATTCTTTCTACAAAATCTTATCTCCAGGCTTTAAAAGTGGTCTTCTTTCTGCAGTTATAGGAAAAGTTTGAATTCAAAATGAATATTTTTTACTTTATGGTGACTATTCTTATCTTTACTGGTGTATTTTTACTGTGAGCAGATGAGTGGGAATCTGTTGCTCACTCTGTCAGATTACCAGCCTTTAATGGTGTTATAATCTGCTGTCCGGTTCCCAGGGTTGAAGATAAACACTAACAGACAACTGGTCTCCAGGATTGTGTTTTTATTTGCTTTCTGGCTGATGGAAACTCTTTTTTTATTGGTTGAATGCCACATGAATACCAGAGGATTAAAGTCTAGCTTCCTGTCAGTCAGAGGCTAAACTGTTTTATAAGCTGCGATAATGTTCCATCCTATTATCTCTCCGTCTTGTCAGTCAGAGCTCCCATACATCATCATCATCTTTATCTCTCGTCTAATTTTCTCTCCATCAGGCAGAAACCTGCCAGCAGTGAAGATCTGATACGATCTAACCATTTTAACGTCTCGCTCTCAGCACGGCCGCCTCTTGTCAGTTAACCATCTCATCCGTCGGTGGTGGGCGGCGGCTGTCAAGCGTGATCGCCATCACGGCTCGTGATCTCTCCTCGTGGTAGACAAGCGATGGGCCGATCGCCGCTCTGACGGTGGTGGGTCTGATGGAACCGGACAGGAACAAATGGTCTGATTCTTCTTCTTAGAGTTGGTCATTGTTTTAACTTTGTTGGGTTAACTTGCAGGCATCTTTATTAAAGAATCAGAGCATCAATCAACCCAACAGTAAAGCTGACAGACATTTTCATTTAATCAGACTTATATCTGCAGAGACTCACACAGCCGTTGTTATTTTTCTCTTGTTTAAATGAATATTTATTCAGATACGTTTGTCATGTAGCTCCAAGCTAAATGTTAAATGTATCACTCAAATCATAACATCTTGAAAGTAAAATTTATTTATTTATTGTTTTATTTAGTTTATTCATTTAACTTTTAATTCCTTTTAATTCAGATTAAAATAATGTTGATATACATTCCTAAACTGCGTTAGTGAAAAATGTTTTTTTTTTTTCAAATAAAAGTCTGAGGACTCGAGGGGAAAGAGAGAGTTCTCCAATCTCTGGGAATTAGAATTGTTTCTACCTCAATGAGAACATTTATCTAATCTAATCAACTTTAACTTCTCAAATGTGTTTGATAATCAACAGGTAGAAAAAAATCTGTTTCGATGTGTAAATTATACGATTCAATCCTTTTTTCTTAACAACCTGATAGAGACTTGGGAGAATTAAGTGTTTTCACTAGCCTAAAAAATAATTAATCCACAGTTCATTAATTAATCAGAACGTAGTAAACTAAGTGTAGAATACAGCTCAAGGGTCAGAGGTCATGATTGGTTCCTCAGCCTTGTTATTCAGGCCTTGAGGGTTTTTACCCTTAGCATAACCTTCTTCTCAGACTCAGACCGTCTCTCATACCAGACTTATATGATGTCAGGATGCTCTGCACCGCACACCAGTAAAGAGAGGTTATGACACCCTCATCGACCTGCTGCTGAGCCTTCTAATGATGGTAGTTTTGTTAGTTGTCCATGTAAGGTTAGAGGTAGGGCTGCTCGATTATGGCAAAAATAATAATCATGATTATTGTGACTGAAATTGAGATCTCGATTATTTAAGACGATTTTTCAATTTATGTTGATTTTATTTGTTTTTATTCAGTCATAAAATTGCTCAGGGCACAATCAGGACAAAAATAAATAAGAAACAAGATGATCACTAAAATAACTCCTGATTCCCAGTATATAAAGACCAATATACTTACAGCTCATAGTTTATGACCCAAGGGCTATAGACCTTGGTTTAACTCATTTAAGTCTAACCAGTACAGACCCAAATACCAATATCTTGCAAATACTGATGGCAAGAATTATACAGGGGCATTTATAACAAATGTAAATAAATTGATGTTCACAAAATGTTGCATAATACGTATTTAGTCGTGTCAAGGTGCTGTAGGAGAGTGCACTAGCACCGTGTCCTCAGAGAGATTAGTTATTAGTTATCAGCGTGAGGAACTTATTCTACCTTATTTATAAACTATTTATTTACAAGTCCATCAGTTAATGTAATAATTGTCCCAACCACAGCTGCACCCCCTACCCCCCAACCCGGTCTCAGGGGCAAGCTGCACGTGTGTTTAGCGTGCCGCACACGCACATTAGCCGTTTTTAGCGGCTCAGGAGCCCGCAGGTGCGGTGTGTGTGTCACTCACTCCGGTTAGTCCAACAGGGAGCCGGCTCTGAGAGCTGTTTCTTTAGCGACTGACACATCGCTACATCATTCCCTTTCCTAATGTCCTGAAGAACGGTCCGGAGCGCAGGCGGAGTGTTTAGCTAACCTGCAGGAAATGTCGACAGCAGTTATCCAGAAAGTAGCTAAGGGTTACCAGAGATGTTTCTGAGGTGTTCGCTAGGTATTATTAAGATTTAGAAAGTCAAGAAGGGGGTCTGAAAAGCTGTTGGAAATAGCATCAAAGTCACTAAGTTGGGAGGAGCGCTTCATTTGCAACTCAGGGCAGCGCAAGCGGGAGGAGCGAATAATCGGCTTGTTTTGTTTTTATAATCGTTCAAAAGTCAGATCGTAATTGTGATTAAAATTCGATTAATTGAGCAGCCCTAGTTAGAGGTCACAGGAATTGTGATAATAGGCTCACAGTGTCATGATGGCTTTATGTTTAAAACGGTCAGAAATAATCTTAAAGCTGTTATTTTCCATCTATAAAAAGACTAAAGCCATTGGGTCAGACGACTGACCCTTCATCTGGTCTAAATGAAGTAAACACACAAAAGAAGCACACAAAATCAGTTTTAACACATTTCTTCTTATCTCTTGTCGGGTTAATCTCTGTTATTGTGTAAAAACACAGATTTGCATGACTGCCTGGAGGAAATAATCCTCTTCTTGGTTTCATAGATGGAGTCATCATCATATAATCCTTTTTTCTTCCTACTTAATGTTGATGCGGCTGATAAGATTGTCACAGAGCATAACCCACATTTGACAGCTTGTAGTTCTGATGAGATTGGATCTTCATCTCCCACACTCACCCTCTCCACCTCCATTTACACACAGTTGTCATATAGTCCATAGCCCTGACAGCTCATAGATCTCAGAGTGAACCATGATTGGATTGGAGTCAGAGCTTCAGCTTCTTTCATCATCTCTGTATCGACAGGGTAACATTATAATCCACACCTCTGACGATTTATAGATGCAACATGATTGGACTGGGATGAGTTTTAATCTGTCTCCAATCCCACAGTTCTGGAAACTCCTAAATTAAATGTGGCAGGATGAAAACAACCAACAAAACATGATCAAACCTTAGTTTAGCTGTTGCAAACAACCACTTTGAGCTGGAGGTTTCTGAGGTGTTTTGATGTTTTTATCAGCACGTTTCAAGCTTTTTGTTTGTGTTGCGACAGATCTAAAATGTCTGACACTGAAACTTAAATTATGCCTCTTAGCAGTATAATCACAGGAGTGGATGCTTGCTTATATGTGGAAGTTATCTGGCAAATCTGGATTTGTTTTCCCCCGTAAAG